ACTGACCCTGGATGGAGCTTCATCACCAAAAAGTGAACTAAGTTCATCCATGTCTTGCTGTTGAGTTAGTCCACGTCGAAAGTTGTAGAAAATAATCGCGCGAAAATGCTCACGAGTCAACCCCATTACTTGGCCTAAACAAAATCTTATATCTTAGTGTGAACAATACAAATCGCGCTCAAATTTCGCAACGTAACCTCAAAATAGTCAAACTTTACGACAGTGGTGTCAGTTGCTAGATTGCTACACTAGTGTTGCCAAATCTCAAAATATAAAAGGCAGCCCTCGTAAGAGTGAAGGTCGACGATTTGTACTTACGCTTCTTCTAATTGTGCATGCATTGAGCAGGAGCGAGTGCTGGCTGTATTCCACAACATTTGTGAAAAGATTGTTTCGCGAACCTCGTCAAAAGCTGTGTCCATGAAAATCAAGTCGGTACCTTAGATTCATTTGCGCTCAACATAGCCAATATCACTGAATGCTTCAGCTCCGCTACGTGCATCTTGACTTCAACATGATGACCTAGCTCCGGAGCTGAACTGAGGCAAGCGTTGAGAGCATTCAGAAATATCGAAAAAGATGATGTGAACAAGGTGATTAAAGGTGATTCCGATTGTTTTCAAGGTGCTTGCTGCCTTGACTTAGGCTTCAGAGTATTAGTGACATTATTACTAAAAGATTCTAACAAGTTTTCAGGAGATCAGATTGGACAGACACATCATACGTTTTCGCCCCAATAATCAAACCAGTGATGCTACCTACTGGACTATGACAGAGGTCGAACAAACACGAGGCTGGTCCAGAGCCCAGTTATCAGACTTCTTTGATAAACTCTGAACAAAAGCGAAGATGCTAACAATATGCTCCAAAAAAGAGGGCTCATTGAACTACACTGGGTTACGACGGTGACGATGGAGATATCATCGACGTGATGGAGTAAATTAGTAATCACCGGGCACCTAAAATAATCCCCATATGCGAAGTTTGGTATAATCAACTTTTAGAAGGGCTCCGAGGCTCGCCCACCATCGCAGAAGAGCACGACTTCAATTTGCAAAGTTGAATTTGGGAAAATATTGGAAAAAGGCAAGTCCGTAACAGACTAGCCGTACGTATAGAGCTTTCCTTCAGGTCGTATTCGCCCGTGAAAAAAAAGCTTAATTTGTCGGTTACATTTGCTACTAGCGTGATTTGCAAAAACAGCCCACCAACTTTAGTCGTCGTAAATTTGGAAGAGGAAGTGTTAGGCATGACGTGCTGGGGCTCGCTTCCGTGACCTCCAGAATGGAACCCAGGGTTTACCAAGACGCTCTACAGGGGAACCTGTTGCCAAAAATCTTGAAGTCTTAAATCGTCTGCCTCGTCTAACGATGTTTTTCAAAAGGACACAGTGCTGCGATCCACGATAACCGTTCTATGAAAGAGCAGCTGCGTTGGCGGAATATTGGAAATTTGGCTTAGACAGTTGACAGTCCTAAACTCACTCAGATGGAAAATCTGTAGGTTATCATTAAAGGCACTGTTAACGAATAAATGGTTTCGAAGATATGCACATGGTTAGAATTCTAAGCCCCCTCTGATAACATTTGTGCAGGAATTAGGTCGGAAAACGGCTGGATAGGGCACAATAAGGCCAGGAACAGTGGGGGACGGGAGGCCTCCGCCCCTCGTTAGGCTGACTACGTGTTCAAGTTGTTCTTCATCACATTCGCACTGGAGCGAAGTTGGTGAAAAATCGATACGCAGATTGGCAAATTGCCAGGAATGATCAGCTGGTCGACCGCCTCGTACAGGAGCTAGTATTCGGCTGTTATTTCTATTTTATGTTTGTTATTTCTATTGTTTTTTTTTGTTATGAATTTTTCACGGTATAATTCTTTAACTATTCTCGTAAGTTTATTGAAGATTTTAACATATTTTGTGTAGATTATTGCATGCAAATGTTTTTTTATTTAAGAAACTGCTTTAATTCCGATGTGTTGTCTGTATTGCAGACATTGCGTCGCCTTCGTGCATTCTCGCTCGAACACTACCTA